TAGGCGAGAGAGGTGTTGCATGCCTGCCCGGTCGCCAGAGGTGCCTTAGGGGAGAGAGGTGAACACCATTCAAAACTATGCCAAGGAACGACTTTATGTCACCATTTCTACTCAAAACCACACTCTCCACTAACACTGACCAAATCTAAAAGGGTGGAACACAAGGAAAGCACATAACACAATGAAAATAACAAATAAACAATCAAAAAAACTACTATGAGGTTGGAGATAAAGGACTATCAAACATCAAATTATACAAGGAGCAAGAGCAACACATAGTGAAAACAAGGAACCTTCTAAAAAAGTACAATCAACAAATGGCACAAAAGTACAATACAACTCGTAAAATATAAAAATAACTAATGAAAGAAAAAATATTATAAGTGTGAAAGGTAAGTCCTTGAGATATTTGCAACATTCACATATCCCCTTCTCATACTGATCATCACCTACTTATCTTTCTGGCTACTTATGCAGTCCGTGGATTATTGAGACCAAGTGTCCATATCTATAAGTATATCTATCATCATTCGAGAATTGCCCTCAAGATCCATAAGCCCTTTTCCTCTTCAATCTCAAGATCTGATGGTCTTAGTGTTGTTTCTACTATACTTCATTCTCATCCTATGTTTACAATTTAACATCACTGGAATATTCCTTTCCTTAAAGAATACACGGTGAATTTAGCTTTATTTCACGAAGCGGGTAGCAATGGCGGTAGATGAAGTAGAAAAGAATGGTACAAAAATTTTGCCCGATAATTTTTAGTTGTACTTCCCCGTGGAAATTGATTGCCTGAGCTTAAAGGACGAAAAGTTGTAGAAATTTGAAAGATGTGTACCCAATGTTGAAAATTAAGGACAAGCACCCTACGTGGAGTAAAAAGTGTTTTTTATATAAAAAGGATAAAATCATGATAAGACTCATGTTAACAATTGATTCCGAGAACTTTTTGGCCGCTTGGGGGTAACATTAAAGAGTGTTTCTACAATAACTTCTAGTTCCACGTTAAACTATGGACTTTCTCACATAGACAAATTAAAAAATGGTCATGAAAGCATTATATAAATGTGTATGCAACTATGTAAGAATGTCATGAACTCTTAGGTACATCGTACACCTAAGGTGCAAGTAAGAATTAACCAGCAAACAATACAGAAGAGACCACATATTTAAAATCCCCAAAAGTTTCATCATCAATTTCAAGAAATGGAAAAGAAATGTTCGTGGAGGCATATAAGCACATCTGAGTGTAGTATTTACCAGTCTCAAAACGAACGGCTACACAGAAGAAAACATCTCTATTTAGAAACCCCAGAAGTTTATTCATGATTATGAGAAGTAGAAAACAAATTGTATTTGGCATACGAAAGGTATATCTGAGTGTACAGAATTTACCAGTTTCGGCCAAGAACCTCTTCGGCTCGGTATCCAGTGACCATCTCAAACACAGAATTTACGTAAATAACGGGGTGGTCAGGCTCGAGAACGTCCGTGACCACGAAACCGCACGGAGCAGGCTGAAGAAGCGAGTCAACCGGAAAAGGCAGCAGCGCTCCATCGCAGTTGGTACTAAGCAAGAACCCTAGTTTCTCTTCCTCCTCTATTCCCTCTTCGTTTTCGCTGATATCAGAATTGCTGTCCCACTCCATACTTGATCGGGATATGCTTCAACACCACTAGGCTACGATCGACCGATCGGGATGCTATGCTCTGCGATGGAAGAATTTATGAACTTGTGCAAAGGTTAGAACTTAGAAATGCCCTCTTCTATCTATCCTAGGGATAGGCAATTTAGCCCGGACCCGAGCTTAACCGACCCGCCCGACCACTAAAATATCCGAATCCGAACCGAGAATAAAATAATCCGAACCCGACCCGAAATATTTTACCCGAACCCGACATCGGGTCGGGTCGGGCGTGGATTTATAATGTTACCTGACCCGACCCGAACCCGAACCCGGCCCGACTCAAACCCAAATATTTTATAACATAAAAGCCTATATATGGATATAATGAGAACTCCATATAATCTCGTAACAAAGTGCTACTATATCAAGTATGCCTTTTATAATCAATTTTATAATTCATTAATAAAAAAATGAGACGCAAAAAAAGAGACACAAAAAAATTAGATTTAATCTTTTTAAAATTATTGGGATACGTCGAATTGATTATTATTTAAAAGTCGGGTTCGGGTCGGGTTCGGGTTTCGGGTTGGAATGTCGGGTTCGGGTCGGGTCGGGTTTTTGGCTTAAAAAGTCGAGTTTCGGGTCGGGTTCGAGTTCCGGTTTTAAAAGTCGGGTCGGATAGTACTAACAAAATTGGTCTGTTCGAGAAAAAATTGCACTCCTGAGATGACAAAAAAATCATTGGAGTTGATTAACAAAATTGGTTCTAAACTAGTTTTGGGTAGATTAAAAAAAAACTGTAAATGAAAATAGCATCCTATCTTGAAAAATCATTCTTGACTTACTCCACTACGGGGTGTATTCAATCAGGATATTCTGATGGATTGTTTTGGATTTAGAAATTCCGTAGGTATTCAATTTAGATTTTAAAAAGTCATTTAAAATCTGAATGTATTTTTCAATTCTGTGTCATTCAATTTAGATTCAAGAGACATTATGTGTCACATCATTTCTTTTTCAATTCTACGATTTAACTTCTAAAACGATACACATTCCTTAGAATTCTTATGTGCTTCGTTCTCTTTGGGAGCTTCTACTCTTTTTAGCTCTAGTGTTTTTATTTTATCTTCGAGCACCTTTGATTACCATCACACCTTAAATTACCATTAAGAGCGTTGGCGCAATCAATATTGTCCAGTATAAGAGAAGAATAATTCTCAACCAAATTTTAAGCGAGGAGGTCCAAAATGATTACATGTTGCATGAGACTGAAATGCAAACATGGTGCATGAGACTACCGAAGAGCACAAGGTGTCTAATTAACATTAGTGCACTTCAGTGCATTTTAAATGCTAAAGAGGAGATAAAAAAATGCAAACGACTTGTTTGTAACTCCTCGAAATATATTTTGAAATTTAATAATGAATTTCTAATAAATTGTAATTCTGATTTTTCTTAAAATTAATTAAAAACTTAAATTACATGCCTAAAATAAGATATTTTCAATGTTATATTTTTATGATCAAATTTATACTCGAATTGTACGTCTCGAAGAGACAAGTCCAACGATGTAATTTGTGAGTGAATCTGAGTCACGAAACTAAGTAACCTAATTGCCCCAAAAGCAGAAAGAAAAGTAAAAGTAAAAGAATAAAATATAAGCTTGTCATAACCATAAAATTATTTATTCAATATTGGTGTCGTTAGGTAGGTCTCGTGAAAAGATGAAGAACGATAAAAAATTTTCTGAGTTTGGACTTATACATAAATAATTATGTATAAAATAGACATTTATTTACCCTCAGCTCGTTCATAGCCCAGCTCGTTCATATATAAAAAGTTATACACACACACACACATCTAATATATCCTATGCGCAAGAAAGAGACCATCCCCCATCTGATATAGAAGGTAGGACGAAGCAAAGTATTTCTGATCGAACAAACTAACTGACAAATTATATATGAGTTTCTTTGTTCGATCAGAAATACTCTGGTTCGTCCTACTTTCCGTATCAGATGGGGGATGGTTTCTTTCTTGCGCATAGGGTAGATTAGGAGTGTTTCCCTATATATTTGGCATATATAGAGCATGAATAGGACTTAATTGTTGTTTCCCGATGATGGATAGCCTAGACAAGGGGATATTATGCCCAATCAATACCGAACCCAACAAGAGAAACCCAAGAAGCACGAAACTACACCAAGAAGTAGTTTGGCCTCGGCACTCGACTAATTCACTCGGCTTCATTCCCTATATGGTTTCTTAAGATAATATTAATAATATTAATGATGTTTAAAAATAATTAATTTTTGTTTGATTATATTATTTTTAAAGTTTTTGGTCAATTTCATAAATAATAGTTAATGTTAGAACAATGTATGAATTTTAAAAATAATTCAAATGTATGTAAATAATCAATAGATTAAACAATCTATTAGAACCCTATAAAATTATGCTTAAACCATCTATACAATCCTTAAAATAATCTATCCATTTTACAAAATCTAATAATTGCAAACAATCTATCAAAATCTTTTAAAATCTTGATTGAATAAACCTTTAGGGCATGTTTGAGAATAACGTTAGAGATAAGCGTTAGTGTTTTAAAAAAGACTATCTACGGACAACGTTTAGCGTTAGCATTTCAAAATAATCTGCACACCGTTAAAATTTTATCCAAAAGGCTGACACTAATCTCTAACGCTATTCCTAAACAGGCCTTTAGTCAACATTTTTTGAACTGCACTCCTTGATAACGCTCAATTCTTTATCTAGTAGCCACACCTTATACAAACACTCATGGCTAATATCATTTCAATTTATCTCTTCATAAAAACCATACAGCAATTCCCTGGGTCCCTAGAAGCATCCTTTTGTTTCAGCGATAGTTAAAACAGAACCTACATCTCAAAGGGAAAAAAAATCGTTCATTGTAGTTGAAATGTACTTGCAAAAACAAGAAGAAAAAACTATATTAACCTCACATTTGACCCCAAATGCCTTCACAGACATTACAGAACAGTATTTCGTGTCTGTAATGTGAAGGCATTTTGTGTCAAAGGTAAGGTTAATGTGGAGCTAATATAGCATGACTCAAACAATAAATATTGTACTCCGGAGTAAGATACAAATTCCTTTCTTTGTTTTAAAAAAACTTGCGATGGATTTGGAAAATATTGACCGAACCCCCGTCAAAATTTCAATTGAATATTATGGGCTACCATAAAACGCAATCTATATGAAACTTTCATCAGCATAAGAATCTAAAAGACCATTTCAGCATGGCTTGTGACTTCACTTACCTAGAACGTGCAGATGAATTAACTACATATGCTGATGAAAAAAATTAGGCAACTTCTTGTATGGTCCTTAAGTCGACATTCATTTCATAGATCTTAATACATAAAATGATTACGTGTACTGGACCTTGTAAAAATAAAGAAATCAAACTATGAACCCATAAAAGGTAATGAGCAATATATGAACATGCTTTATGTACTTCAACATATGAGAAGCCATCTTCATCCAGGGTATATATGTTCTCATATGCCCTAAAAAGGTACCATGACAATGCACATTAATCTGTAATCATCTAGACCATGCATCTTCATTAAACTAACATGGCCCCAGAATGACTGTCCTTTCAACACCATATAATATTCCAGTCTTCACTATCACACCCAATTTCTATTCAGTATTAGAGAAAATGTCAGGAAAAATGTAAAATAAAAGATCTTCAACAGAGATTGCAGTTGTATTCCCACCATAAATCGCAGCAGAACCCCTAGGACGGATAGAAGCCAAAGTATATGAGAAGCCAACAAATATTGTTTTGCTTTGTTTCTATATACAACAAAAACAACAACAAAGCATGTATAATCACAGCCCTCCTAGGGTCTAGGGATCAATATGTATGCAGTCTTACCCCCGTAAAAAAACAGAGAGACTATTTCCATTAGAGCATTCCCGCATTTACTACCCAAATCTTTATAGAAAGAAAAAAAAACAAGTGAGGACCATTATTTGTCAAGACCTAATAGTCAAGTTATGTTTCTATATAGAAAATATTCCCACCATTACTCAGAGAAATTCACGATTTTACATCATTACTCTAAGATTCAATAAACGTTATGGCTGCTCCCAAAAAAATTATGAGTTTATACAGCCACTCCACCGGTCACCAAATGTTCCAACTCCGGTTGTGTAATGCGTAGTGAGTGGTGGTGTTGGGTTTGAGTGTTCGATGACTGATGAAGTGGCTGTATAAACTCAAATATTCTGAGAGCAACGATGTCATTTATTGAATCTCAAAGTACTAATGTAAAATCGTGAATTTCTCGAAGTAATGGTGTTAATTTTTAATCATAGATAAGGCAACAAAGTAAACGTAAACATGAATATGCATATATGATAAGGGGATTCAGAATGTAAATGAGAATCAGGCTCATTACAACCACAACAAGCCTAGTATAATCCTAACTCTAATGGGCCAAAATGTACCGTCTTATCTAGACCTGGAAAAACGAACCAAAAACTGATTACCCGAACCAAATAACCCGAATTTGAATTTGAAATGAACCGAAAACTGAAGATCCGGTCTATAACCAAAAATGAAGATAATCTGAACAAAATTGAATCGAACTAAATACATTCAAACCCATACTAGAAGGATCCAAAACCAATTTGATCCAAAACCGATTAAAAACAAAGTAATTACACCCGAAACTAATCAAAACCAAAACAGACCAACCCAAAACTGATCAAAGCCAAGCTAAATCAAGTCATGACTCACAAGTAATAAACTAAAGGAACAATACATCTAATCAATATAAACTATTATAGTATTATACTCCCTCCGTCCCAAAATGACTTACATGGAATCCAAAACGAGGCAAAGTCTCAAGTTTTTGGAATTCATTTTATTTAAAAATTGGTATATAAATAAAAAATTAAAAAGACATTTAACAACTACATAAAAGTTCTACAAAACAAGAGGTGACAAGAATATTTAATTTTATAAAATAATCAATGAAACAATAGAAATGAACTAACGTTCCCGTGAATTTGGAATAGTAAAATGTGTAAATGATTTTGGATAGAGGGAGTACTATTTTCCGCTTAAAATTTTTGGTTTTCGTACACCATTGGTGACTTACTAATTTTTTTTTAGTAAACATGCTTATAATTAAGGGTATCCTTGCATTCATGCACCAATCTTGAATCTTGATGTACTAGTTTTTTTTTTCTTTAAAGTTTTTGTTTTCCTTGATTATATATATAGGGATTGATTCTTGTGAGATGATGTTTTGGTGAGATGACGTAATCTGAGCCAACCAAAAGGAAGGTGGCATTTTTGTAAAATTGTCACTCTTTGAAATAGGCGTCTCAAATTGTGTCATCTCATTCATCTCACGAAAATGTCATCACTAGAGTAGTTCCCTAAACTGTGTGTGTGCGTGCGTTTGTGTGTGGTAACATTTTAATGTTTGCAGATTATAGACTTTTGCATTTGCATTATATATGAGACTAATAAGGCAAAAAAGTAAGAAAATATGTAGGATATTTTCTTTTAACTGATATAAGACCGAATAGTCACCAAGTATTCATGTGTTATCGGTCTTAACCGCAACTAGGCATTTAACCAAGTAATTGAAGAAATAATAACCGCACCCAGCAAAACTCTTAACTCGCCCCATTATTTTTTAAGTGTTATAAACTCACTTCAATTGTGAATATTGAGTATACATGGTTTGGCACCATGTTTTATACTAAACTCGACCAAGTGATCCTTTGGGCCCACACATGTACCCCAAGTCAAAAACTATCCACCGCTCTCTTTTTTTAATCTTTTCTTCTCTTATCCATATCAGTCATCTCCCACAAGTCATCAAACACTTATACAACACGCACTAATATCGCTAAAAGTCAAACAAACACAACTAGAACTCCCCTCTTATCTCCACCAAAATTGACGTGCAAGTATACCATTTCGATCAACTTGACGCAAGGAACACAAATACATAAAGAAATATGAGGTTTGGTGGCTCAAGGAAGCAGGAGTGCAAAGCGGCAAAGGCAATTAATTAGTGTTTTCCGGCAGCCGTTTTGGTTGTATTTTGAGGTGTAGGACAAGGAGCGAGTGTTAGAATGATTGGCAGCAGTGATTGGTAAATTCTTATTTTACATTTGACAAATATTAAATGCTGAAATGGGGTTTGCTTAATGTTACGACAGGTTCAGCTATCAGTCCATATTAAATGAATCTGTGAATTCCAATTTGGTTAACCACAATCCTCTACTATCTGAAACCGAAACATGTAATATTACTGCCATCACAAAATGCAAAATAAAATCACCGAAAGAGTGACACTTAGAAACTCAGATGTGAGTTTTTAAGAGACTTACCTGTACAAAATATTAACCAGCATAACGATTTTCAGCTGCACTGAAGAACTTTTTGAGGATCGAGCTGTCCACTGCAATAACTCGATGGAACAGCCGAGAGTTCCAGCCTTCCTCTCCATTCTTCACCAGGTTTCAATGTGATGGCTTTTTCGACTGCTGCAGCTTCCACACACAACATGTGCTTGTATTCGTCATCCCCAAAGTCAGTCATTGCTTTTGCCTTCTTGTCCCAAGGATTCCACACCACTTACCAGTGAAATATATAAGCTTAGTTAATAATGACTCATGGCAGCAAAAACAGAAAACTTGTTATAAACCAAAATTTTGCTTGTCAATCTCCCTTAACAGTGAACAAATTTAGTGACCTACAGCAAGCCTCTTATCTTATCTAAAAGAAAAGCATTGCTTACTTCACACCAATACTACCACAAAAGAATAAAGCACCTTTCAAGGAACATATGGGAGGGGCATTCAAGCAACACAAACACAAGGTCATATCTAATAATCATCTTGCAGAATTTTATTACATTATTCTTTTAGAAGAGTGAACATTTCTTAATATTAAAAGTAATACATCTTTATGTTGAAGTTAGAATTGTTAAAATTGAAACCATCCAACAATCAATGCTGACATATGCTAAATTTGATAATCTGTTATGCCGGTGAACTCTCTCATCACACGACCTTCTCGAGCCTTGAATTTTGACATGGCTTGCGTTTTAATAAAGTGAAAATTGTGACTGTGTGGTTTAAACTTGTTAAGAGGACACAAAATTCAACCATCTATTCTAGAATAGCAAAGTGGGAAAAAAATTGGGACACCCGGAATAAGAAAGGAACAAAATTATGGGACAGGGGAATAATATAAATAATACAATAAAACATACATTAAAATGCAGCAAAAGTACTTACTCAAATCCAACAACTTTTTTCCAAAAAAAATCCAACAACTAGATAATAAAAAAAATCAAAAAATGGAAAATTCAAAGGATTAAAAAATAAGAAGCTCGATGCCTTTTCCATTTTTGTTACACTCAATTGTAACAAAAAAATAAAAAAATATAATAATAAAAGGAACAAATAAAATATTTACAAGAGATGTTACACTAAAAGTCTGAATGCTGTGTTTTTTCTTTTTCAAAAACCTTGCTCGTAATAGAACAAAAACAAATCCAGTGAAATCCCACAAAAAGTAGGGTCTAGAGAGGGTGTGTACGCACTTTACCCCTACTAGTAGAGAGGCTCTTTCCATGAGACCACCAACTCAAGCACAGACAAAGTACTCCATCTATGCACTTTGTTTCTTCTTAATTTCTTTTTTGGGTTTTCCGTTATCTATCTTCCCATTTTCTAAAATGGCAACTAAAATAAATGAAAACAACTTTTTTACCCTTACTTAACCATCTTATTTACTAGCCAACAACCCATTTCCTTCAGGCTTCATCTGTTCTTTCTTCTTTGTAACCCCCACCCCCCCTAATTCTTTGACGAGAAGGGCGACCGTGAAGGGTCTTGGCGGCGGCAAAGCAATTTTAATTAGATTTAGGCACATAGGATACCAAAAGCACAGAATGCACACATACCAAGATACAACATATTAGGTAACAACGCACGAGCAAAACCTACACACTAAAGCCCAAACGTCTATCCAACTACTCTAATCCTAGATTCCAAACATTCCTATCTAAGGCCATATCCTCGGTAAGATCCTGAAGTCGTAAGTCCTATATAATCACCTCCTTTCAACTCTTCTCAGGTTTACCACTACCCCTTCGTGCATTCCTTGTAAACACTTCGTTGGCTTCTTTGTGTTGGTCATGTGTGCCACCTTGATATGTAGGATACTTACCTCTTAATCTTCTGAGAGTTTTCCATAGTATCTTTATCATTAAAAATAAACTATTAACTATGTTATGCAGCTCAATGTACACAACCTTCCAATATTGACAGACTAGCATAGGAGTATTTCTTCTTTTGGAAGTAGCACGAGCCCTAAAAGAGTGATTGACTATTGAATCATATGTAATCCAAACATACTAGCATCGAATATTTCCATCATCTTGAAAAAGCAAATGATAATAGCTAGCCATCTTACCAGCATCAGGAAGTCCATCCTTGCGAATCACAAATGTCCTTTTCTTTTCATGATCAAGAATGGCAATTTTTGTTGGAGTGCTAAGGTATATTTTATCGACCTATATATTCAGCAATTTTGTTTCAAGTTTTGGTAAGACACACAGGCTTTAAAAACTTGAGAACCGCAAATTGATAAATTTCTTACTTCTCCTTCGAAAGTAATAGCATCTCCTTGTTCAGTAAACCGCTCTTTATTCTGCAAGTTATCAAGATAATCCAGTGTTTCTAGCCCCTCAACACGAACTTCACTGTTAAAAAATTATAATGCAGGAAAACTGGTTAAAAACGCTAAGAAACAGAAAATTTTTAAAGGATGACTGACATAGGTACAAGCACAAGGAATGAAGGCTACAATTTTAAGACTATCACATCAGAAGCAGAACACTCAAGTAACATTAAAGTTCACTCTTCCCTACAGATAAAAAATCGTGCAAGGACATAATTAGACACTTCATGACCTGCTTTGCACAAACAATAATACTCATGTTTCCCGTGGTTATATCATCTAATATATCATTGGCGTCTACTGAATACTTGTAAGCCAGCACCCCATATTATACGCATATAAGTGAAGAAAATGCTTCAAATTGACCTTCAAGAATAAATATCATGAACACAATAAAACTATGATTGCCCTAAATCAAGGATAGGCACTGATTGCATGTCTATTTGCATCGTTATGTGATAACTGACAGGGACTGTACAAGATGGGGTAAAGAGGGGTATGTGGTTTGTGGATTATATGAAGCTAGTTGATGAAACCAACGACATGCTAAACTTTAAATGCTAATTTGCAAATTTGGCAATATGAAGACAACAGTTGCAATCACCAGGGGTTTAAGGTAAGTTTGGGTAGAATAAAATCATTGGATTGCATGTTTGGCATTATCAAAGTAAACAAACAAAACGGATGAAAGTGTACAAGAAAAAGCAGTCGCTAAGCTATTATTTGATAAACTAAGATCTACTATTTTTTGTGCGCACGCGATTGTGTGTATTTGAGATTTTGAGGTTTTTGAGTAAAACACAAGCATAAGAAGAGAGTCTTAAAAACAATAGAACAGAAACAAGTCAATAGGTTTGAATTCTAACAGTAGATACTTTTTAAAAGTTCAAAACAAATGAAGTGCTAAGGAAAACAAGAGTGTGGCACCAAATCTCATGACTAACATTAAGTTCTAAAAATAAAAAAACATATTCAATGCAATAATGCACTTCTAAGATAGTATTTGGACACGTCCCATGCAAATAATAACCTAACATACAAAAAGAGAATGAAATGCTTTTGGATTCATTAACAGAAATGGATTTATAGAAATCGTACTCATTAGCGCACCTGATGTCAGAAACAGAGAAATAGGTGTGATATGCAAATGTAAATGTGAATGGCTTTCCATCAGTGTTGGTGTTTCTTATTCGAGATGTTAGCATAAGATCTCCACCAGGTCCCAAGGTTAACCTCAAACGGAATTCAAAGCTAGAAAGAGCATGGAAATAAAAGCTAAGTGTGGAATATATAAAAATAGCGAATGAAGATACAGATGTATACACGCACAACCACACACACACACGCACACACATGTAGACAAACATTAGTTAATCTCCGAACCTGTGAGGCCAGATTTTCATGTCCTCCTCAGAGGGCTTTAGTATGAAGTCAACAAATGACCTAGAATTTGGTGGATTTGGAGGAGGATCATTGTCAAAGCTCCAAACTCTGTTTCTAGCAAATCCGTGTGACTCAAGAGGTCCAAGGTTTGAGAACTACAAAAAGAAATAAGGTTGGGCATAAGTTCTAATTAAAATTAGATTCACATATGTAAGAATGGAAAATAGCATATACCTGAGGAAAGCATATAGGGATACCTCCACGAATTGCTTTTGGAGGCTTGAAAATGGCCTGAAAATAAAGTAATATAAACTTCACAAATCACTCATTCCCAGCAAAGATCCAAGAAACCCCTCTTACAAAATTATAATGATCAAATCCAGAAACTCATATTTTATCCTATTGGTGTAATATATATCACGATGTATCATGTATCAGTAAAAGTATTTCTAAGTATTCATCAGTAAAATTATTTCTAGAACTTCATCTTAAAAGGACTGTGTTCTCTAAGCATCCTATTTTAAATCATCACTTATGTATAAAGAACGAGCATTAATGAATTTTCAGTTTTAAGATTGAAGTTGATCTAGAATACATTTATTCAGCATAGTCTAAAAAATATCATCACTCAACTGGCAAAGCACTACCGTAGAGATCCATAAAGGTTTGTAGTCCAATAGTTTATATTAAGAGAAGACCACTATGCTAGCCTTAATTGAGCTCATGAAAGTACCTTGCTACTGACAAAGAGCAACTCTTCTCCATGTTCATTCTTCCAGGATGTTACATGGCACCCATAAAGATACACCTAGAAAGGAGAAAGAATTTACAACATAAAGGCAAAAAATATTTATCTAAAACTGAAATAAAAGAACATTATGTAATTTATGTGTGAGAGAAGAATGAATTTACAATTAAAGCCAGACAACTTGATATACAACTGAAATAAACGAACATCTAGTGAAAGGACATCATGAAGTTAAAAAGAGAAAAATAAATAAATGATAAATCCTTAGAACTTTCAAAGTTGCACTATCAAAACAATGGAAAATGTGAACATAGCAAATCAAAATCATGCTTGATGAGGGAATAGCAGTCTAACAAGCATACTAGCAGTTCTATTTCAACTAATAGTCTGGTACCCATGGATGGTATGGTTAAGTTCTTACTAGATTCAAAAAAAATCACAAGTTGCACCAAACACCAACCATGCCAAAGACCTTGAGGTCTTGTAACATATGGTAATGCCCCCCCCCCCTGAATTTAAAAAAGAGTACAATAATAGAGGGAAAGCTCAATCAACAATATTGTACATAGAAGTTATACTTTAACTAGTTATCTAGTACTCAACTACTAATCATGGTTATGGCTAACGTCTTAAAAGATTCAAACAAGAAAAGGTTAAATCAAACACGCCAAAAACCTTTTGGTCCAGTGGCATCTATGTATGCCTCTTACTACCCATAAAAAAACTCAAAAACCCGGAATGAAAATAGTAGTGTTAAAATCACATTTTCACATTTCTGATAGTGCTTGATCTGTCTAAATTAAGATGCACATTTACTCATTTGCACAGCCGCACTGACCTTGATGAGGTCAATGTGCACATTCAACCAAGGGTCAGTTATTATTCATTGTGCAAGAGAGGAAGCATATTATAGGCAGCGTACTGCTGGCATGTCAAAGTGCACAGTCAACCAATTAATCACCAGAATTAATAAACTGCCAAAGAGGCAGCATACTGCTGTCATGAAATTTTTTTAATAATAGTACTTCAGAAAAATATTATCTACGTATATAGACATTCATTTACAAGCAATCGGGTACAAGTCTTAAATGTTACAGAAATACGAACTAAACCTAAATCGGAACCCGTACATCCAGTGATAGGATCTGTTAAATTTTACATCAGCATTAGGATCCAGTAGAACAGATTTAGATCGAGAGACTAGAAAAGGAGAAATCAATACTCTGATCTCAATCCACACCGTGCCGAAAGAGAGAGAAGAATTTATATATTCAAGCAAATCGAAAACAACACTTCACAGAGAAACTCATATACAAATCGACCTCCGACAGAGTATTGACATAAAAGAAAAAAACAACCAAAAGAGAATAGTAATTCAGGGAGAAATAGCGCTGCTACCTCGACGGAACTGCCGCGAACCTCCCGGAGAACGACTTTGTCGAGGCCATTGATGCCCTTACACAGCTCCACTGGAACCTTCTCGTTACGAGCAGCTGCCATCTCACAAACGCGCCTCAGCTTCCCTCTCTTTCAATTCCTTTTAGGCCCCCCACTTGGTTGTTTTGGTAAGAGTAACTCACACTGTACCATTTCAGCTAGCTAAAAAAGTACTACTCTTTTAGTCCCAAATTATTTGTTACATTACCCAAAATAATATTTATAGTTTTTAATTCATTCTATATAAAATTTGATAAACAAAAATATAATTTATATATTTAAAAATTATATTTATAAATTTTTCAAAACAACAAGTAACAAAAATACTTTTTTATCAAATAATATATGAATAAGGTACAAATAAACAAAGTTTTCATAATTTTGAATAGTGAAATGTGACATTTTTTTGGGATGAACAGGAGTAAAATTTAACCCCATTCAGAGCCAACGTGGTCATGTTGGCGTAACTTGAGGAGATCAACTGTCACTGCTTCTTGGCGACCTTTGAGGGTCAGGCGTGCGAGTGCTTCTACAAACTCCCTAAAGGATCGATCAATAGATGGAAAGTCTTGACGAGGAAGTTCCTCAAACATTTTGCGACAAGCCGCTAGAAACTCCCTTGAAAGTACTAAGTCTAAAATACATTATAGGTACATGTTCTTGGTGATCTACCAACCTTGAAGAATCCACAGGTTTGACGAGAATGGAAATGGGATAGTGTTAGGTAAATTATGTGATGCACTATATGTGTGATATATATGTTGCATGATATCACATGATTGTTACGAATTGTGGGTTTGCTTATTTGTTTACTTTGACGTTAGATATTTCTCCCTCGGCGACATTGCTGAGCGTGCAGTGTGTTTGTATACTACACGCAGGTAATAAAAAATGAACATAGAGTTGATCCCGTAAGGCAATGAAGAGGATGAGATGTGGGACAACATGGCTGATGATTTTGAATTATTAAATATTTCTGCATGACTTATTACGTTTTCGGGCATGAGTCCCAACTTGTGTTTGTTTTAAAATACTAAAGCTTTCGTATTGTTTGGTTTTACTTTGGTGATGGATTTTTAAAATATGATCTGTTTGAAAATATCTTTTATATATAAAATTTGGATTTAAACTCCCAGAATGTTGACATTTGTCATGCTGACTGGGATTTTTTTTGACACTTCATCAGTCATGTCATCAAAATGGACTTCCTCAATATTTCAAACGGGTTGGATAATGATTCATTACTTTGGGCGTCATTTATTTGGGCGACTCTCTGTGAGACTGAATTCATCCATAAGTCTCTACCGAAGAATGAAATGAGATATCGGTGAAGATGTGGAACTTTCCTTCGATTGCACCTCCCTGCGATAATCATCCTCGAATGGCTCCACCACGAGATATCAGCGGAGATGATATCGGAATTAATCTCTTTCCTTCTTCACGAAGATTCCAGCGATCGATACCAAGAATAGGTAAATTTCCCTTTTCTTAAAAAATCACAATTGTTCTTGGGATGATTGGCCTTCTTTCCTTCTTAAGACAATTAATCTCTGCGAAATTTCTTCTTCTTACGAATTTTCCGGTTCAAATCTCTGTGGATTTTCTACCCTTATTGCTGTAAATTTCCTTCTTGCGATTTAGGTCATATATAAATCAAATTTTAAGAAAGCCATTTCATCAATCTATTCTTTCCTTGTAGGGCGCGTTCATACCTAAAACCTCTGATTAATTGACATGTCTTCCAAACCGATTCACCCTTTGTTGAAGATCAATCCAACAAGTGATTCGAATGCTGGGGAGTTTTGGTTCGTGTGATTCGACTGTACAAGATGCCAGTGTACAATGATGAGAAGATGACGAATTCGATTGAGATGATATTCATGGATGAACATGTAAGAATTGAACTCTTATACGCATTTTGCATACAATATAAAATGTATGTTTATTAGGAATTCTTATAAATTTATGTATAATGGGTCTGCTTTCCTGGAAGCTTCTATTTTCAGCACCATAAAAATGATTTTTTTTAATTAAATTATTGAAGAGTTGAGCCTGTCCTTATTTTCATATTTATAGTCTGCTATTTTTGAAAATGTTTTATGGTGTGGAGTTTAGTTTTTAGTCTCTTGAAGTTTCTCCAGATTCGAAGTATTGAAAAAACAAAACACACTATAGTCTGTTCAGATTCTAAGTATTAAAAAACAAAATACACTATAGTCTGTTTAGTTTTTTTAGTGCCTATTTATGTTGAAGTTTCTCCAGTGCCTAAAATCATGAAACTAAAATTTTTTTAATAGTGCCTAAGAAGGAATTCTTATAATTTATGTAATAAGTTTACTTCAACATAATTTATGTTGAAGTTTACTAGTGTACTAAGTCTGTTGTCCTTGAATCTTCTATTTTCAGCACCATAAAAATGATTTTTTTATTAAAGTATTGAAGACTTGAGTCTGTCCTTATTTTCAGACATTATTTTCAGATTTATAGCCTGTTGTTTTTGAACATATTTTATGGTGTGGAGTTTAGTTTTTATAGTCTCTTGAAGTTTCTCCAGTCCCTAAGTAGTGAAAAAACAAATCAGACTATAGTCTGTTTAGTTTTTTATAACTAATGCCTGAAATGATAAGAAATATAAATACAAACAATCAGATTTATAGTATGCTGTTTTTTTTATCATATTTTTTGGTGTTCAGTTCATCATTTTTATAGACCTTGAAGATTCTCAAATGCCTAAGTCTTCAAGCTTATGAAATCCCCATAAGTATTGATGTTTCCTTGATATTTTGTAGGAAACTACTATCCATGTCACTGTAAGAAAAACTCTGGTGGGAACTTTTGAGAAGAAAATAAAGGAAAGTTCATTATATGTATTTGCTTACTTTAACGTTGGTAATAACAGTGGATATTATCGCACTTCAAGACATGACTTTCGCCTAAATTTTCAAGCAAGGACAACTGTCACTGAAACTAGTTGTGACAAAATACCACTTTATGGAATTAGGTTGGTTGCATTTCTGGAAATCTTGCATGCAGATTCAAACTATCCATATTTAGTCGGTAATACTCTTCCCTTTCGCCTCAAATCCATACTTTAATTTCTATTATATAATTATTAAAGAGGTGGATTATATTATATGGAATGTGTTATGGTTAAATTTGTTGAATATCATCATTATATTGCACACTATGGGGATTCTTTCAACTATTGAAAATGAACGAGATATACTCAGGGAGTCAAAAAGAACAAAGATGATTGTGATCACGTTGGAGGCTGAAGGGTATATTATTATTATGTTTCTTTCGTAAGAAAGGTGATGTTTTTTACATAACATATAGGTATTGATAGGTTTTTAACTTTGGTTGACAGACAAAGGTTGGATGCATGGGCGGATCTAGGTACATGTTAATGGGGGCAATTGCCCCAATGAATTTCAAAATTGTCCATAGTAGTACCCTAATTTTTTTTTTAAAAAAATAGTTATGCCCCCATTGAAAAATATAAAATACACATAATAAAAATAAATTTAAGTAGAAAATTAAAAAACTACCATTAAAAATAAAATATTTAAAATTTAATTGAGTCAAAATTAAAAATTATGTAGAGCAAATAAATTTCTAGGAAATATTTTTTTAGATTTTTCATTAATTATTGAATGCGTTATTAAGTCAAAATAATGTTTTTTTGTAATTTCACATGGCTATTTTGAAGAAAAAACAGAAGCGTTATCCCCGAACCCCGTAGTAGTCTCGCCCCCAGTCCTCATGATTCCTGTATCTGCCACTGCTTGGATGTTACTTTATTTGGTGAGTATGTTGACTTTCTTAAAAGCTTCTCCCCTCAAAAGTATAGTGGACTTTACTTATCCGAACTTGTTGGAGAATATGAGAAGTTATTCTTTTTTTGAAGACAGGGCATTACTAGCACTCACGCTCAAAGTTGTAGAGATGGTAAATGAATTTGTCTTATCCCTCATTCTCGGAGATGGTGTACTTGAGTTTTGATTCATCATGCTAAGCAGATTCAGATGTAGGTGTTGATGGCGACTGGATAACAATTGAGCTTTTGAATGAAATCAAATGTTCGAGAATCCCAAACCACAAGATAGTTTTTTAAAAAAAGGGTACTAATTATGTTACTAATGAACATTGACCAAACATATGAATTGTGTAATGGTATAAGATTAATGGTTGACGAGATGCGAAAGAATGTTATTGGTGCTATTGTGGTTTTGGGAAATTGAGTGGGCGAAAAAGTTTACATACCCCGGATGAATTTGGTACCGTCTGATCCAGGACTACCCGTGAAGTTCCAGAGAAGATAATTTCCAATAGTCTTATGTTTTGCTATGACTATAAACAAAAGTCAATGTCAAACATTATCATTTGTTGGATTATTTTTAACCAAGTCAGTGTTCACTCATGGTCAGCTTTATGTTTCTGTTTTGCGAGTGAAGACAAAGACATGATTAAAAATATTAGTCTTAGATTACAATGGAAATCCTTGCAGTCATACCTAAAATGTTTTATACCCTGAAGTCTTTCAAAAAATTTAGTATTAAAACAAACTTTGTTGTGTGTAGATTCAATTTCTCAAATATTATTCATTTTACTTTGCCTTTCTTCTCCGTGTTATTATAAATCATGTATGAAGTATATTTTCTTTATTCCGGAAAAAATATTACATTGAAAAAGTTCAGAATTGACAAGATATTCGTCCGAACCCATGCGTGACACGGGTAGGAGTACTAGTTGTGTTTTAAAATTTGACTTTATAAATAATGAAAGTGATATTTATTTGAAGACAGGGAGATATTAATTTTGAAAATTCACGAGTACGTATCTAGTTTCACTTTTAATAAAAATTTAGCCTAACAAATAGGAAAACCTTTTTTAGGATAGAGTAAAAACAGTTCAGTTCTGTAGCCACTCAAAGAGAGTACTTAGGGAGGGCATCATTCCTATTGAGACACTTACAGTGTGTTTTCTTTGCAAAATTGATAGTTTTTACCCCAAATTCCTTGGTAAATCCCTTCACCCAGTCCCGATCTCAACACATTCCTCAATCACGTCAATTGCACCAGCAAGTTTAGTCAATTTTTATGTCAAGATTTTTAACCTCAAAGTATCATAAATTACACTACGTAA